GCAGGTCCGCCTTGAAAGATCTTTGAACTCTCTGCGAAAATTGGAGCCCTGAACTATCAATGTGATCATAACTAAAGTTGCCAATGAGGCCAGTTTGGATGTGAAAATGCTCGATGCCCCTGAACAAGGGCATACCTTCGAATATGAGGAAGGCGTCAACATGGAAGATGCCTCTGAAGAAGGGCACTCTCTTGATGAGTTAGATCCCCGGATAATTGACTCTGAGCCAAATGCAACCCCAATGAAAGAACTTAAAACTTTCTCCGCCAACCCAGAGGACCCCAGTCAGGTCTTGCGAATAGGGAAGAAGCAAAAGAAGAAATGGTGAGCTTCCTGAAAAAGAACTTGGATGTCTTCGCTTGGAAGCATGAAGACGTGGTGGGAATAGATCCAAGGATCAATTGCCATCATCTTAACATCAATTCCTCCTGTGCCCCCACATCGGCAGAAAAGACGTGCCCTCAACTCGGAGTGGTGCGAGACACTCAAAGACGAAGTAGACAAGCTTAGCTGCAGCGGCTTCTCTAGTTTTCCTTTTTCAACCAGTTGAAGATTGAATTAAAAGATAGGAAATAATTTGTGTAATATTCATGTGCCTTCTGCCTCTCCAATTAATCCTGAGAACTATTTTCAATTTCTTTAGTACCAAAGTTGCAAGGTATAGTTACTGGTTATGTGTTTAGGTCTTTGAGAAGGTTCTAGAGATGACTACTTACCTTGCTTTTATAAACCCATTACTACAATTTATGCACTCGAAGCAAACATAAATTTCTTTAGGAATTGCCAACATTTTATGTTGTCCAGATAGTATTGTAAAGGCTGATTTTGATTATCTTGGGTAGATGATCTATTTTTTCAGATTAGATAATCTGTGTGTTTAAGACATTGTCTGCCATGCAAGTGGTTTGGCTGAGTTTCTTTTTAAGGTTTCCCTTTTCAGTTACAACTTTATGTTATTTTCATTTTTCCGGTTCTTGTTTGCCAATCTATTCTTACACAGTTGCAATCTGATACAGATCTGAAGTTCTGAGTGTTGTTATTCGCCCATCTAATCAACTCAAGATTACGTTCTTGGAGGTTCGTGAAGTACAATTATTTACTTCATCAAAATTTGAAACATAATCTGGAACTTTTTTGCTTCTCTAATTATTTTATTGAATATTTTGCTTATGTTGTTTGAGTGTAATTCAAGTAAATTGAGTTATTCTTTAAATTAAAAATGTATTCTTATGGCTGACTAATTTGTTGAGAATTGAGGTTGAGGTTGAGGTTGAGGTACTTAGTTATCATATTTCCTTTCAAAACCTAGTGCACACTTATTAGTCTTATTGCTTTTCTGATAAAGATGCACTGCCCTAAATAGTAGGGCTCCATGTATCATCTAATTTTATAGAGAATTTTGTTTGCACAGTTTCTTTACGAAATAAACTTATTGACATGGATTTAAACTCTCATGGTCACTAGGCATTGGTTGTTTCCCGAACCTTGCTTCTTTATGTATAAACACGTTACACAATTTTCTCCTCAGACATGAAAGAATGGAAAAGGAACACATTTTGGTGCAATTTTGATAAAATTTTACGGGTGGTCTTTTTAAGTGAATTTCAAGGATAGAGTTAAAAGGAAAAGAAACTGGGAATATATACACATATGGTAATATGACATGGATAAGGTGGCTAAATGCATCTGGGAAATATACACATGTATACATATAGTAACATGACATGGGTAAGGTGGCTAAGACACCTGAAACCTAGCAAATGATGAACTAGGAGAGTCTTATGTGCGCATGACATAGTTATTGATGAGACTAGGACTAAGAGAAACCGTTTGTTTACTTTCAATGAGTAATTTGAAATCCACAGATTTTCAGTACAAAATACGTAAGATGTCCCATTAGTCATGGTAAGATTAAGGAAGATATTAGAGTGGCTAAAAGGATAATGTTGTGCGTGAAAGTTTGTTTTAGTTATATAGATGTGATAGATATGATTATAGCTGGTTAAATGAACTGGGGAAGAAGTGCTGCAATGATTCTATCTGATACAAAGACATCAAGGTTAAAAAGACAAGCTCTATAGTACGGTTATTATCACAATAATCTTTATGGTAGTGACTGATGGACCATTAAAGGACAAAACTTATATAAGATGAACAAGGTGGAAATGAGGACGTTAATATGTATATTTGGCTACACTAGAATAAGTACGATAAGAAATGCAAATTTATGCTAACAATAGGATATCTGAGATTAAATTACAGGAACAACGATTTAGGTGCTTGGAACATATATTGTGTATAGCAAAAAAAGCTCCCATTCACAAGAGTGATGCAATCCCAGTAAAATAGTTTCCCGTGCCTTGCACATAGCATCTTACCAATATGATTGTTTTCGTAAAGATGCACATATTTAATGTTGAAAATATCTCATGGTATCTGTATATCCATGACCAATTACTTGGTACAGGTTAAGATTCTTGATATTTATGTGTATACTTCCTGTTCATGATTATTATCTTTTGAAGGTTTCAGCCCCCAAGATATTCCTGAGTTTGCATTAGCACAGGCCAGTCAGTAAGTTGGTTTTGAAAACAGAAGGGCATTGCACTTTGGCCTTGCGTGAGAATTTAATTCATGAAAAACTATGTTCTTATATTTGTCATTGTCTAAGGTGGCCCTAGAGATTATAATTCTGACCTTCTGTTTTAAGAAATGCATGATTTGTTGCAAAAGCAAAGAATTTTTGGTTATTAAATAAGAAAGAGGGACACGACATAGAAAAGCTAAATTCTACTGATGTAAATATCTGCTGCTTGTGAATTTGGCCACTCTCATGGGGAATCTGAGAAAATTCCATCAGTGTTACAATTCCAGAAGATAATAACACTGATATTCATGCTTTCGAAAGAAGCCATATTGTTCATTCCTAAGAGACACAGACATCAACAAAAACCGGTCACGCCAACATGTGATTTTTAGAAAATAATAGAACATGGACACGTTAATTTATATTCTTTTAACTTGTACATTTATATCATTATTTTTATACTTATTTTTGTTTCAACTTTCAATAGAACCAATACCTTCTTTAGCTTTAATTTTCGAAGTAAAATCTTTTGAATCAAGTGAGTGACTATTTGTAGTATCAACATAACCATGGGTTAAACTCTATGGTACTACTGCTAGAGAAGAAATATTTATTTGCCATTCAGCTCCTAGATTTTTTTATCACTTTTTTTTTTTAAACAAACTATTTAATAAGAGATTTTCCTAATTTTTATATTTCAAATTTAGGAAATTGGGCTTTTGGTTTCTATGATCTATCGAGGACACGCTTGCATGTTAAACGATAAAGAATATGAACAATACACATGCTAGATTGGCTTGTAGTAGTTGTGCCTGGGAGGCATCCCACAAATGTTGAAATGTGAAAAAATATATAAACTATGAAATGCCACATGGCACATCGGACACGTTTTGGAGTGTAGGATACCGACACATCGTTCAAATAGAGGAGTGTCCGTGTTTGATAGGTTCATTGTTTTGACAAAAGTCCAAAGTTTAGCCATTGCATTATTATCTTTCAGAGGCTGGAAATTTGTATACTTGAATCAAAACGCACTAGCTTTGTTCCTTTTGTCATCTTATTGTAAGGAGCGATATTGTGATATGGACAGGCCAAAGATATTGCTGATTTGGGTTCACTAAAGGAGGCAGCTAAAATATTTGTCCCAGGTAAGTTGACATGAATACTCTTTCCCTCTGAAAAGAAAGCCTCAAGCTTCGTTTTGTTTCATCTGACTTGTGCTTATATTGAAATTATAATTTGTTCAATAATATAATATGTGGCAGGTGGGGCAACTCTTTACTCGGCCCGCACAATTAAAATCAAGGAAGAAGAAGGTTATAGGTGTGTTTATTCTCAAATACATCCACCTGGTTATATCATTATCAAGCACTTCTTCTTGCAGCAGTTGATAAATTTATTATGGACACTGTTTCATTTTCATATTAACAGTTTATAGTAATCCAATTTGTACATTGATATATGGAAAAGTAAGCGTATTGCAATCCTTAAGATTAGAAACTGAACTTGTTCATTCTTGTGAGTTGTTTAGAAGAGTAAAAGTAAACGTGTCTACCAACATAATACTTAAGATTAAAAAATAAATTATAGAATTGTTTGTCTCGTCAATCAAGCAGTCACGTTTTTTTTTTTTAGTTGCGTTTACCATAGCCTTTGTGAAGGTATCATATATTTCAGGACTAAACTGTCACAAAGTATCACGAGTAACCCAAATGCTTATGTACTTTCAGAGGAAGTGAGATCATGCTCTTCTAATGATTTCTCTTATATGGATTTGACTTATTTTCAGGAATTATTACTTCTACGAGTTTGGTAACAACATTCAGCATGTTGCACTATTAGCTGCTGTTAATAGTGGGAAGGTACACATATCTACGTTGTTCGTTGATTTTGAGTACATTTATTGTTCGGCCAACATGTTATTAGATGTGATCCTAGTAGAACATGTCAGAGTAGAGAGAAGTAGAATAAAATTACAATTCAAATAGTGAATTAGCTATGTAATTCAAATATTTTAGTGGTTCGATTTATATATTTTCCACTTGGAGAAATAATTGTTTAAACTTTCTTTTGTCATTCTAAAGTTATTATTTTCTTACGGTAATAGTCACTCCAGTTTCAATAAGTACACTAATGGTCACTTTGTAAAAAAAAAAAAAAAAAGAAACACATTAAATTCGACATGGCACTATCGAGTGCCAACATGTTATCAAATGACGTTATTTATTATGTCACGTGACATTTTTTCCATGTTTTATTTTTGTGACAAGTTGGCACTCAATGGTGCCAGGTAGGATTTAATGTTGATTTGTAGCCGAGTGACCATTATCATTAGAAACTTAAGAAATGAGTTCAGAGATACACATACAACTAAAATTTCGGTGACCATTGGTCTAAATAACTCGTCATTCTGGTGTAAGCTTTTTATATATGAAGATTTATTTTTGCTTATATGCTTTAGGTGTTTATTGCTGGAGCAACTGCGCCCCATAATAAATGGAATGACGATGGCGTGCGACTTCGATCTGCTGCAGTGTCACTGATAGTTCTTTGAAAATTCTATCGGTGGTTTTAGAATTCATTTTCTGCTACAAGAACAACATGAAGATGTTTAATGAAAGATATAGAGCTATAGCAAATCCTGAATTTCCTGCAGTTGGGAGTTAAGCTGTGAATAAAATCGTATAGTGCAACTAGTAGTTCCCATTTTTGCCTCAGATCTACAGACGACTTACAAACACCTACATATTAATTAACTTGCGAAAAGATTGATTCTTGAAACTATGTAATATATTGAGTTGTACTAGGTGTATTATTATTTTGACTTTTTTTTTTCTTTTACTTTCTACAGATTATAGTGTACATTATATTATTCCTCAGCAACGTTGCTAGATTATGCTGAGCACAATTGCTTTGCTTATGCATAGAAATGCTAATATGACATCAAATCTAATTACGTATGGGGGACGCTCCCTACCTTATATAACATCAATACCCAAAAACGTTTCCTGTCTCTTTTTTCAAGAGTCATAATGTGTGACTACAAAAATATATAAATATTAAAGAGGACATTGTGAACGGAAATTTTCTTTACTAACTAAAGTTGAAAAATTCAGTATTCGTAACTTGAAGAAAAATGTTGGATAATTTTTTATACCGCGTAACTAATTGAACTTGTCATGCGAAAAATGATTCGAGAGGCATTAATCCTTCCTTTGAGCCCCCAGAAACCCCGTTTCTAATTATTGAGTCAACAGCTGAGGAACCATTTATGAAAATTACCACTAAGTGCCCAATAATCTGTATGCATCCTCATTTTTTTGACTACGTTGTCTGTCATTGAATATTTAAGCTTAGTACACATTTTGTCCCAGTTGATTTTAGTGATGGCAGTGGCTCCCCCAACCCACCCAAACCTCGCCTTAGACATGGCTGGGCGGGGGCGGGGGCTTGTCCTGTTTGTCGCCTCATTTAATTTTTCTTTATTTTTATTTTTATTTTTATTTTTTGCTCTTCACGGAGCAGCCCCGTGGGTGTCCTGCCCCACCAACCCGTCAGGGCGGGTTTTTTCGGCCCATTTAGGGCGAAAATTTTTGCCATCACTAGTTGATTTAAACAAATCAACAGCACTATTACGAAGCCATTATTAGTATGGTTACTGTGCTTCGATGCTATAGATTTATTGGACATAATTTTGACATAATTTATGGTTAATGTGAGCGATTTCGTTATATGTTTAATTTACTCAATCTTTGATCTTAGTACATTCGTAACTTTTGCCATTCATGAAATAAGAATTTAAGCCCCTGTTTGATCCCCATTAAATTAAATTACATTACATTTCATTTTTCTCTCTCCTATTTTCAACCACACAATCTTCCATAAAATAATATTACACGTAAATCGAAAATTTTTACTTCTTTTTCAATCACTCATTTTTCTAAAAAATATTATTCTCCCCATTTCCATTTTCAGGTAATGGGGGTCAAACAGTTTCTCTCTCCTATTTTCAATCACACAATCTTCCATAAAATAATATTACATGTAAATCGAAAACTTTTACTTCTTTTTCAACCATTCATTTTTCTAAAAAAATATTATTCTCCCCATTTCCATTTTCAGGTAATGGGGGTCAAACAGGGGCTAAATGGTAACATTGCATACTTGATTAACTTGTTTACTTAAGGTACGTTTTGGATATTATCTCCATTCATATTTAACGAAATGAATCTTTAGCATGCGTATATGGATATTTGGGATATATATCAATGTTGAATTGCTTAAAAAAAATTTAGCATGGAAAAGTTAATTCTCAAATTTTCATAAGATTGAAAATTCTTCAAAAGATGTGTACTCCAAGGGATGAAATAGGCTCTATTTAGTTATGTCTTATTACATGTTCCATCCTTTTTAGGCACAAGTGGCACTATCATTGCACGTGGATTCATGCTTCCCTTGTGTACTCCTTGCCCATCGACTCTTTAACTTGCTTTTAAAACACTTTTGTCCTATCAAGATTATTTCTATATATTGGTTAGTTTGATTTGATGTTCAATGCCTCGAATGGATGACAACCTACTAGGCATCTCTTCAGTGAGCACATCTTTAATATCCTTTGATAAATAAATAGCCAAACTAGGGAGATTTTAATTTCAACTGATCCTCATAGATTTGCTTTGGTATTAAAGGAACAAGAGTAAATGATTTTTCACCTTAGACAAAGCTGTTCCTATTTTTAAATCTATCATGTATCACATTTCTATCATATTGCCATGGACTTCCCAACATGATATGCCTAGCATGAAAGGAACCACATCACACATTACCTAATCACTATACCTCCCAATAGTTTAGCTCACAAGACTTGCTGGTTAACCTTGATCTTTTCATATTCATCATTCAACCATTGCAACTTATAGGGTCTAGAATTTTTTAGCATAGATAAGCCCAACTTCTCAACAAGGGCAGTACTAGCTACGTTGGTGCAATCCCTCCAAGTGCTTCACCTTCCACTGGGTACTTAAACTCCATCATTATCACCAGCATCCTCCAACTCCAGCATCTCATCACTTTTTACTCTCATCTTCAGTCACCACTTCCCGATTGTCATGCAAAATCATTGTCTTTTTATTTGGGCATTCAGATGCAATGTGCCCTGAACTCAAGCATTTAAAACACTTGATATTCCTTTTCCTATAGAATGTTGAAATTCTAACTTTGAGTTTATATTTGCTAGCTACTTCTTCTTTTCTCCTAGGTGGTTTAATCTTACTCTTTGAAATAGCCCCATCATTCATATTATTATTATTATTATTATTATTATTATTATTATTATTATTATTATTATTATTATTATTATTATTATTATTATTATCCTACTTTGGTTTCAATGAAGGATTAGAATCTGAAGAATATCCCCGTACTCCTTTTATTTTTATTTGCCTCTCCACCTTCAAAGTCATATGCACCATTTCCTCCAATTCCACATAATGTTGTAATTCAACTATATTGTCTATGTCCCCATTCAATCCATTCAAAAGCCTAGCCATTTTGGCCTCCCTATCCTTCTCGACATTAACCCTAATCATAGCTACCACCATCTCCTTATGGATTTCCCCTATACTCCTTAAACCTTGACTAATGCTCTATAATTTTTGATAGAGATCTCTATAGTAATGAGTAGGTATAAATCTCCTCCTCATAAGAGCTTTAAATTCGTCCCATGTTTCTATATGTCTCTCACGATTCCTTCTCATATTTGTTACTGTTGGGCAATTTGTTGTCAAACGATCTCCCCGGGCTATGATGTAACCTCGGTTTTATTATCAATTGGCCTTGGCCATATGATTGATTAGTACATTGACACAATTATCGAGACAACACAATCCACATTCGTATGGAATGTTCGAAGTAACCTATTGTTAATAGTGTTGCTCACGGTTCGCCCCATTTCCTTGGAAGGCTATATTATTAATTTGAAGCCCATTAATATTGCGTCGAGCCTTGTTTGGTCCACAAATTAACCCTAACCTAACTTACCTATTTTGGATATTTACTTGGCTTATATTCCCGTCTCTCTCTCGGCCTCCATAAGTGTGTGCCCAATTTCTCTCTGTGAGACTTACCTCTCGGTTCTTTCATCTCTTCTCTATGACCTTTGTGGTTAATCCTTAGTGGGCATATCATTGGACTTCATCTTCCCAACCTATAGCAACCGGAAGTGGGGTGGCCTTGGTGGTGGTTTTGGAGTTGTCTCAACCTTGGTGGTGTCGATGAAATAGGTGAAACTAAGCCCGGTTTGAACTTGGTGGTTGCTGGAAATTATCCCTACAGTTCAGAGCCAGAGTAACCTTCTCCGGCCAGAAAATCACCAAAATCGACGGTGGTGTGCGCGATTTCTATAGAAAACCGAACCTGCAATCTCATTTTTCGGCAAAACCAATGACTTTTCGAGGAAACCGATCCCATATCCGGAATCAGCAGGCTGAGGCGCCCCCTCTAGTGCGGTGCGTGGCGGCAACGGCGACCTCCGGCGGCGTTTGGCGACGATTCCGGGCGAACTTCCTTTGGACAGTTTGCTCATTTCAATCCCCTGAACGCACTGACACTCTTTATTTTCTGTTTCAGGTTACACAGAAAAGTTGGACAATTTTGCCCGTGGTGGATCGACGGTTGAAACTGCATATATCTACTGAATTACTTTAGATCAAGATTGCGGCCCTAAAGTAGTAGATTTGCATCTCTCTCGATTATAAGGATTTAGACACGTCCGCTCTGGTAAATTGGCTTAACCCGTTAATTTTTCAGCATTAGCGCGTCACCGTGTGGGGGTGACAATAGGTTGGGGGTTGTCATTGCTTGGCAACCATTGCTTGTTCTAGAATTAGGGTTATGTGCTCTTGATTGATCTTTTGATTGAGTATTTGTTTTGGGTTAAAATCAGTTTTGTAATTCTTAGTGATCTAATTACTGTGGGACTAGTTATCTGCTAGACATATTTTTTGCTGCATTGTTATTTCCGCTGCTTACTTATTCCGTTAGAAATACTTTGACCTTACCCGTTCGAACATTCCCTTGATCTAAGACCGCAAGTCTTATGAAACCCTGGGAATCTAAAATGGTGTATATTGTCTGTGACCCTAGGACTACTTTGTGTGGTTTGATTGTGGTTTGTGCATTTTTGACTATTGTGTAAAGATGACAACTCATAGTTTTGATTTGGGAATTTTTAACAGAAAGGGTGACTTTGCTATTTGGCAACAAAAAATGAAGGGTATTTTAGTCCAATAAAAGGTTTCAAAAGCCATTGAAGGTAATTTTTCAACTGATTTTTTACAAGAACAAAGAGAAGAAGCCGATGAGCTTGCTTATAACTCAATTATTTTACACTTGTCTGACGCTGTTTTAAGAAAGGTGGGTAAACTGAAAACCACTAAAGAACTTTGGAAGAAATTAGAAGACTTGTATTTGCTTAAATCTACACCAAATAAGCTTTACTTGCTTGAACGTTTTTTCAGTTTCAAAATGGATCCTTCAAAGGATATTGATGACAATCTAGACGTGTTTAACAAATTGGTGCAAGATATAGTTAATTGTGATGAAACTGTGTCTGAAACTTATAAGGCTATAATTTTACTCAATGCAATTCCTGATTCCTATAAGGAAGTTAAGAACGTCATTAAGTATGGTAGAGACACGTTAACACTTGAAATTGTCATAGATTCCCTTATAAGTAAAGAAATGAAAATTAGGGCTGAAAAACATGATAAAAGGAACGGTGAGGTACATATGATGCGGGGTAGAACTCAATTTAGGTAAAATAGTCATGAGGGATATCAAACTAGTGGCGA